TACTATGCAGACAATCCAACACGAACTCAACATGGTAGACGACTGGTGCAAATTGTGGAGGTTAGAGCTCAACACAGTGAACCTTACTTTTTCAACATATAATATAGTTATTGCCCGAGATTCACATGCATACGAACTTTGAAACTAATTATCTACGGTCAAAGCTGAGAAATATAGATCAAAAGCTCGGGGAAACTTCTTCCTCATCAAGTATGCAATGATATGGAACAGTCTTCCCTCCGAAATACGCATGGTAGATGAATTATATACTTTCGTAAAACTGCTTGATCAAGACCTCACTGGGACTGATCTGGCACGTACGAACACATCTGCGCCACACTCAAACATCATAGGCTCTCTCCCTGTCTAGACCAAAATGACTTCAAGTTCGGTTTGCCTTATTTTCTCTACTTTGCAGTTTAATAGTTACTTTTTCCACCCTATTTCTTTACTTGAATTAGACAGGTAAATCACCTGGCCTATCGATACTGTTAAACTAAACTCGGTCGCTAAGGGACGCTCACTACCACCCAAAAGAGTCGAGAGAACCGCACAATCGATTGCCTACTACCAGTGATCTTGGATCTATGGAGCCAGTTACCCACTAACTAGTTAGAACAACACAAAATAACACCAGCGCCACGTTAGTGTTTCTTCCTGTTTATTCTTTGTTAGCTTTTTACTCTTCTGTACACTATATTGACTAGCAATTAATATTATTTCTCCACATGTTACCTTATCTACAACCCATATACTACTATACTTTTCCGCCTGCTTTACTAAACAACTATCCTACATTATACCCTTCTTAATGCTTATACTCTGACTGGCAAACTATACTTTATACTATGGTCAATTAAAGCACTGTATCGATGCCTTACCCACAATCCATAATTTGTAAGCCCGATAAGCTTGTAACATGGTACTTATAGAAATAATGTTTTCCAACAGGATGTGAAACATAGAGCACTGTGTGAGGTATGACATATATCCAAAAATAATCTTAAATGAGCCTAACATCACAAAAAAGGGGGGGAGTTACTGACCAGCAAGCATTGATGCTGAGGGCGATGACTTCAAAACACTAATGTCTGTGAAGCAGAACATTTGGTATGTATCAGGCTCTTATGATTGAGAATAAGTCAATCAATCTGTGATATAGATTGTCTTCCTACGCTCACCACTCAGACTCATGTTTTCAGTTTTATGCTGGATTAGCTATTCTACTAAGACAACCTAAAACATGCTAACTCGGACTTTTACGCTAGGATTGTGTGGCTGGCATTGTACGGGCAAAAAAAGAAAAGAAAAAAAAATTAAACAATTAAAGATATAGTTATTAGTATTCTTAACACTTCACCTCCTATATGCACACCCCCTTCTGATAAACAGATTCTTTTGTACCAACCTTGACTTCCCTTCCTTCATGTGAGTTTACTCCAACTTGTTAAACATCACAACTCATTGTTCTTTATTAACACATTCTCTAATATGGAGTCTCTGACTTCATTTCACTCTAACAAGAGATAATATGAATTTAGTCTAATTTATTATACCTCTGTCTGTTCTACCACAAAATGTTAAGCAACGCTTAGCGTTCATACCCAAGTGCCCTGCTGCTCTTCTGTTTCTCTTTTTTCCTCCGAATCTTGCCCTGAATGCACAGCTCTGGAACTTCTGACGTCTGGAACAAACTTGACATATGCGTTTCCTCAATGTTATAGTTTACAGCAAGCACTCTACGAGTCTACTTTATAACAACTATAAACTTAATAAGTTGGGAAGCATGCTGTGAGTCAACAAATGTTGTAATTTTAGATCATGCCTGTAAAAATGGCGTGTACCTGCTCATGCAGAAATATATTATTATTATCAACATCTTGCACTCTTATTCCAACGCCTTTCGGATAATGGAATGGTAATCAACCCGGACAAGTGTGAACTGGACAAATCGGAAATAATGTTCTCAGGTCATATCATTAAGCGAGAGGTTATTTTACCTTGCAAGGACAAAGTAAGTTCAATAAGGGAGTGCACCGTACCTTCCACACTCAAGGAATCGAAGGCATTTCTCGGTTTCGTTAACTTATACCGACGTTTCATCCTACACGCGGCAGAACGGTTACGACCATTGACCGATTTACTTCACGGTAATCCACGCAAATTAGAATTGAACGATGCCGCACGTGCTGCATTTTCAGCGATCAAAACGACTCTGGCTCAAGTCATACTCCTTGCTAATCCTGACCACATACTCACGTGCATTGATCGTTTTACAAGATGGCCCGAAGCTATTCCCATCACGTCTATTACGACGGAGACAGTTGCTCACCGCTTCGTAGAACGATGGGTAGCACTCTACGGTTGTCCTTCGACTGTCACGACTGACCGAGGACAACAATTCGAGTTCGCATTATTCTCCTCACTAACACAGCTGCTTGATATGGAACGCATACGCACTACTGCCTACCACCCAGCATCAAATGATCTGGTTGAACGGTTTCATCGCCAACTTTAAAGTGCTCTTCAAGCACACGAAAACGACAATTGGTACGGGACCTTACCTCTCGTCCTCTTAGGTATCAGAACGAGCTTGAAGGCAGATCAGTGAGTAGATGTCGAACTACCATCACCTTAACTACTTTTTCCATCACTCAAGATACCGCTAAGGCAATGTTTGTGGGCAGGTAATTTTCAGTGTTCGCTTCAGGTCCTGTCTTAATTTTGCGAATGGTTTATGTAGTTTTCTAGGCAGCGGGGTAATATGCTGTAGAAAGTGATACTTTGAATAGGTCGAGGTGTATAACACACAGATCCACACCTCCACTTTTTAGCATGCTAGCTGGAATACCACCCAATCCATCAGTGTAAGAGTGTTTCTGTGCGCTAATTGTCATAGAAATATTCAGTAAATTGAAGTCAACGTTAGTAATTTCACAGGAAGGCGCTGAGCTGGCCTCTGATTAATTTAGTGGTTTTTCGTTAGCTAATGAGATACTTAAGTGTTCGCCAAATAGTTTCATGACAAGTATACGAAGTATACTTGACATCGTAATAAGTCAGAACTGTCCCCGACTGTTATATCTAGAGCTTAGTTACACATTATACCGCGTACAACCAGAGCACTCGAACGCTAGAACCCTCCCAAGTCGCAAACAAGAAGACAGAAGATAAGCGAAAGAAATGCCATTCCGAAAGTGCCATTTATGATACAAAACTGTCAGGTACTTATAGTTTTTATTAAAAACGAAATCGTCATTATAATCCTCCAATCAGCATACAAGGAGTTATTAGCATTTGTTCAATAGGGAAGCTACACGCAGGGATCCTGGAATATTTTTCCGAAAGATGATTAGATAGAATGTCTTCGGATCTTTCTGAACTTATTAGAACTTATTCGAGTTCACCGGTGGGCCGTCCTCACAAATCCTACAAACAATTGTATCATCGGACGTAAAGTGTAACTTGCACGTAGCATTTGACCGGTTCACTTAGGAAGAAAGTATTTGACTTATGCATGATAAAAACGAGGAGGTAATACTTCATCAATCGCATAGTTATATATATATATATATATATATATATATATAATATATATATATACCAGCCTACCAAGGGAAGTCCTTTTGGTTCTTTTTCAGATGCACTGATCATATTTCGTAATAACAACGTGTATACAGAGCTTAACAGCGGTGATAAGTTATAATTTGACTTTTTATGTATGCTTATCGTTAGAATATTTAGGAATCAGCCGGTTCCACAAATGCCTCGAACCATTTACATCTCTGGATTTGTCCACATACGATAAAGACGCTGAATCAGAACTTTGCAATGAATTTCCTGGTTTGATTGTAGCAGACGTACGACGGAATGGCTGTTTACTTGATGTTAGGCTTTTGAAGGACCAAAAATATATCAATTCCAAAGATAATAATAAAGTTACTACGTCAAAAATTAGTGTGTTAATATACCAAATGTAAAGTATACACACATGAAAAATATACAGGACGTTACTTCAATTGTCAGGAATTAGCGCGTTGGAGTTTATTTTGGTTTGAAAATCCATAACTATAAGTAGTTAGTTATTCCAACTATCTTTCGTGGGAAATTTCAAAGACTGAACAGAGGTTGGCCAAACAATAAGATCACTAGCTCAACAGTATTTGGTACCACAGAGAGCCGATTAGTGAAGCTAGATAACAGTTATTTAGACATGAACTTAGGGTTAAACGATGAGGAAACGGATGTGAAAGCAATGGTAGCCTCAATCACCGGCATAAATAACGTGGAAAATCGTTTACACTATACAGTGGAGATGAAATGAAGACACTATAACTCGCTGATGCTTAGGCAGATTTTAGTAAGGCGTTATCTACTGTCGAGCAGAAATTGTGACCCTATCTCACGTTATTATAGCGATCCCCAAACATATCCGCAATTTAAACTTGAAAAACGACTTTTGATATGGGAAAACGTTTATGCATTTGTTTGTCCTGTCTTCTGGATGTCTTTTAACCTTTCATACTCAATTATGCAGTTCTCATCTCTGTTTATTCAAAGTCCTTACATTTTCATTCATTTATTGGTTCGATCAGCTAATTTATTCATGTCACTTGGTTCTTTTATCGTCTTTATTGTTTTCTGTTAGTTTCACAAATTTCACAGTGTTAATAATCAATTTCTACTTGGTAATGTGATGACTGCTAGTTCACAAAATCTCTTCGTCTTAGGTTTATTGTATATGCTTGAACTGTCAGTGTATCAACTCACAAATTGCTGTTGAACTTACTAATACTAGCTCAGTCAAATGATATTGGACATTGGGAGAGGTGGACATTCGTTAACAATGCTACCGTTGAGCTCACGTTCAATAGTCCCGTTATTTGTGACTCTCACTAGTTAGACGCTAACCAGGATCCAGTAAGTGTAAAAAAATTTATATGGATAAAAACAAAAAAGTTTACCTCTATTTATTTATGTCAGATTGATTAGAGTTACAAATGAGTGATACATATGGAGGGAAGGAAAATGTCTGTGGAAAAAAAACAATTATTTACACAACAGAAAGCCCACTAATGTGCATGGCTGTCAGTTCTAAAGCTGAAATGGTAGCAGTTGCCGGTAGAAACCTCTTTCAAGTATTCAGTGTGCATGAAGACAAATTCATTTCGGTACGTTTCTTTAGTCTTCAGTAGTAAAAATAGGTCAGTCGACCTATATTAGCCCTTGCCACTTGTAATACTATGGAGATAAACTTTCACTTTGATTGTACGAATAGTGCTTTCGGCTCTAATGCTCAAAACTGAACTTTATAACCGTATCAGGTATTCGTTTGGATGGAACTTTTATAGGCTTGGTCCGTTATAGTTATTCCTGACGTTCATAGATCTAACTTTACTATTTCAGAACGAGAAACGGATTTTCGTTCATTATGAATATCTATTAACCTCTGTTGACAACCTTAAGGTTGAATAATATCTGTGACCACTCAGCAAATGATGGCAAATGGTCGTTCATGCAGATGTAATCATAACTGCAAAATGACATTAAGATTTCGGAAATAACTTGTTCGGTGACATGACTGCTTAATTCATTTGCGTAAGCACTAACTAGAATGACTTTATTAATAACCACTTAAATAGATCCATACTAAGAACTCTTAATTAACCACGCATGCAGTCACTGCCATGGAAGTCCTACTCACTGCTTTTTCGCTGCGGAGACGTTGTTTACAAAATTGAGAGCAAGGAGCGAATGTCCAGCACTTTGGCCATGTTGATGGATACGGAGGATCCACCTAAGGAAGTCGGAAAACCCTGAATCCAAACCAATGGTGCACATGGACTCCAGCGTTCTAAGGGAAGAAATGGCGTATGAACCAATTGTTGGTCACCGGATTGAGACTATAATTTATGGACGAGCTTTGAGCGACGCAAGTATGACCTTAACAGTGCCCACCTAATAACTAGAACCAAATGAGAATTATGAAGCAGTTTGAAGAAAAAGGATTATGATTTACATTTGATGGTTGGAGTTAGGAATTAGATTTAGGGTTTTCATCACGAACTGGCATCAACTATAATGCCAATACTCTATTTAGCCAAATGGGTGGATGGATTTCGCGTATATCCATTTGGTACTTCCCTGTACCAATGTTTATGTGTTAAATAAACAGGCAACTGAAATGCTTAATGCATTGACTTTCACTACTTAATGTTGGATTATGTAATATATATATATATATATATATATATACCGACGTTTAGTATTTTTCGGTGTGCGATATGCTATGTATTCCGAAAATTCCCATTTAAATATGTGCGGAGTTTTCTTCCGTTTCTTCATCTATTTTTCTTATGCTTACTCTGAGCCTATTCAGTCTGTAAATAGTCAGTATCTGAAAATTTGGGAGCTGGATGTCATTTGCAAAAACCTTATTGTATTGGAAACGGTAATTTCTGGCAGATCAGTTCACGTAGTTGCCTAGCACGATAGCTCAGTAATCCACTAATTGATCGTGTGTTCAAGTAAAATACCTCTACTATGTTAACATGTCTCTTCTGAGGGGGATGAATGTAAAATTGTGATATAAACTATCCAGAATACCTGCATCAAATCGAGAATTCACCCGTTCAATGTAGATTATTAAAAAGCTTATGTATATTAAACAGTTCGGGAACAGACTACAGTAACGGTCAATGTTGAAATTGCTCCAAAAAGTCTTATTATTGCTTTGCTTTTGAACTACGTTATATAGCTACATCGTGTTAAAACGCCCTCACGTTTGGTTGTGTCTGATATTCCAAAATCAAAGACATCCGTAATTGATTCCATTGGGACAGAATGTGGCCCGAATCCAACTCATGCAACTATTGTTACTGCAACAGAACCTATACCTGCTCGACATAGCCCTGTGATACAATCAGCTATAAATCAACCTCGTTCTCACAGCGTTACAGATGTAAGCTGGTCAAATGTAGGTGGTAAGTTTTACGAATGATGGTTAACCTTATCTTGGTACATGTATTCTTACATTCGATACTCGAGCATACTACACTTCTATTTCATGTGCTCTGGTCTTTCGTTTCGGAAGTATTGATTCAAATAACATGCAACTAATCTATCGCAGTGTTTCAAAGATCTGATTTAGTGTCACAAATGATTGTGTCTGTTGATATTGTTTTTTAAACCTATGTACTTTTTCACCTATTTCTACGTGCGGTTGTTTTTAACAGATCTTCTAACAGCGAAGTAAATTGCTTTATACGAGTATTCGTCAAGATTAGAACGATTAGTTTGACGGAAATTGGACACCGAGTATAGCGAAGTCATTATATGTGTAAATTATATTTGAAATAAAATTTAAATACATGGATTTTTCACATGATTTGTATTTAAGTGGCCCATTTTATCCTATTCTACAAAAATCAACATCCAAATTTGATTGATTTAACAACGTATAGTTTTGATTGTTAAAAGCTTTATATTTCTTTAATGATTTTGATTTCGATTATTACCTGAAGAAGTCCAGACAATTTAGCTGGACGAAACGTTGAAATTATTTAAATTTCAATCGCTGAGATTATTTCAAACATAATTTTCACATATAATGAAGTAAATTGCTGTTTTTGAAATCTATACAGTACTTTATCCTGATTAATATGTAAAACTTTCTCATATATACTACTCAACATTAACAGGCACTAATTAGTTACTAGAGTTAGTGCAACGTCATCCTTTCTAGTCTACAATAATAACCGAATTTTATGAGTTCGTTTCTCATCCTTTTCGATAAACTAGACGGTTTAAGATTTCGTTATATTTTAGATAGCTGTTAAAGCATATAAACCAGGTTTCACGCGCGTGATTTTCGCCAAAACATATCTCAACGACAAGGAAGTTCTTAGTCTAAGGGACTCAGATCCGTTACTCAGTATTGTAGTCACTTGGTGTTACAGCTGTAACCCTGTTACAGATCCATTTTGGTGGTGATTCTGAGCAAGTATGAAATGAATCTTTAATTCCTTCTGTCCATTGATTTAGCTGTTAAATAACTATTTGGACATTTATTCCTAAATACACAGTTTTTCATTGGTAGTTTGCGTTGAAATCTGAGGTAGCGGCTACTTTTTTTATCTCGAACTTATTCAATGCTCCTATTTTCTTGTAGATGTTTAAATTTCTACTGAAAACTATCACTGGTCACTCCATACTTCCAAATGTTATCTGTTGGGTTGCTAAATTCAGGTTTTCTTGCTACTTGTATTAACTGTTATTAAAACGTTCTACTCGAATATTCTATTAGTTGAAAGATCAAATATTTTGTAAATCTTAGAATTTTAGTAAGTAATATACAGAGGAAATCTAAACTATGTGTATATCTTCTGATTAGTTTACAATCAAATGACACGTTCCTATGTATTGTTATCTTCACAATAAATCTTTCCTGTCTTTATAAGTAGTTGTCTTTTGAGCCAAATAAGAACTCTGTTACCTAAAGTATACTAACAACGTTCGTTAAAAGGTTTATTAGTCACTAAAATAGATTGTCTATAGACGAATAGATTAAAAGGCTTCGATAACAAGGTTAGCTCGGGGAAGTGTTAGCCATTTATATTAGTTAGTAGTATTCAGGTCATAGTTTTTTGATACCTAGTTTCGTGATATGGTTATTGTATTTCGTAGTTAGTGTCTTCCTTTTTAGTGGAAACCATGATATTGTTTGACCTGAATTAAGACATTCTGCATGGTGGTGAACAGTGCAAATTCAAATATTTGTTTGGATACTCAATTTCAGTTTTTGATACATCTTACTGATCATTGTTTAATAATGCAAGATCATTAAAATTTTTTTTATCTAGGTCACCTACCGAAATTGAATATGTTTTTATTTGGCTTGTTTGACTATGATCATAAATTCATTTATTCGTTCAGGACTTTTCTAAACAAGTTTCCCTAATTTTGTCATAAAGCTCTTACACTTCAAATATTTTTTTTACCTTAGATATCCTTGCAACTGCATCTACAAGTGGAGATGTGATGTTATGGGATGTTGGCAGAGGAATGACTCAGAGTAAGTTATTATTTTGCGCGTAACTGTCAGGGTGTATTGATTGAAGCCTTTTAAAACCAGTTTGCGTGTACTTGTTTTCCTACATAATTGTCATCTGCATTTGTTGGTGTGTATAGGATAAAACAGCAAGGTTATCTGCGAAGTCCAGATCTTTTGATTGATTTCGAGCTGTCCATTTTACTTCGTGCTTTCCTCAGGTGTGTTCTTGATAATCCAGTCAACCAGCAGAAGGAAGAGAAACGAGAGTAAGCAGCCTTGTCTGACACCGGTGCTTACTTGAATGCATTTGTCAGTTGTCTTCCACTGACGACTTCGCAGTGTAGTCTGTCTTGTGAATTTCGTATGATGTAGACAATCTCCTTATGTACATTATAGTGTTGAAGAGGGTTCCATAATTTTCTCCTATCCACTCTGTGAAACGCGTTCTCAAAGACAAGGAAGTTGGTGTGCACTGACGAGTTCCACTCAACATGTTCGATGATGATTGGCAATGTCACGATTTGTTCAGTGCACGAGGATCGAAGCGCATTAATTGAACCAAAATCAGAAGGTTTAACCTCCTGTTGCACCATCGCATTATCATGCTTGAGATTTAGTAACCGCTGACATTCAATTGTGACCATTTGTAATGTCATATTCGGTTCATGTTCAATGCGTGCCAACATCCTGGTACGGATATCTGCATTCTTTAGACCACATATAAAAATCAAGCATTTAAATTGGTCCGCTGTGATGTCGTTTATTTTGAAACGTTCGCACTCTCGATTTACCTTCCCAGCATACGTGAGGTAATCGTTCTCTGGAGATTTCGTTATTTGGAAATATTTATAACGAGTATTAAATAGTGAGGACTGTTCGTCGAAAATATCAGTAGAATCTGACTGTGCCTTTGAATGATACATCTCGTGGATTTTGTGGTTAGATAAAATTCATATATTTATTGTATTCCTGTGTTCCAAGTCTTCTTAACAGTAAGCGGACTTTAGCTGCGTCGTCAAGATGTGAGCATTCGACGCGGAAAATGTCTTCACAACGATGAAGCCACGAATTGAAAATGACACCAGCTTCGGGATCATAATGGAATTCAGAAATAGAATTTACGATGCTTTCATACTTATCTGATTGACAAGTTGAGGACGAATGTAATGAGAGCATTCGCGCCAATGCATCCAGAAGCTTCGTTTGATTTGCATCATTTTGTACTTGCTGCATTTGTAGAATAGCTTTAAGGTCATCCAATGATACAGACATTTTGTTCTGGATCAATCAATATAGAAAAGAAAAAAATCTCCGTCGCCAGTTGTTATGACCTTGATCTGTCTAGTTTAGACTATGGCCTTGGCGCAATAGGCTGAGCGGTTTAACCTTGAGGTTAGTACGCGTGAGTTCAAGATGGGGTAGAGAGAGAACTATTCTAGAACCTGATTGGCTGGCAAGCACGCAAGTGAGAGAAGACAATACAGTTGGATGCTGGCTCAGTGGTCCGGTTGGTTAAGCGTTCGCGCGCGAGACCGAAGGCCCCGGGTTCGAATCCCGCGAGCGGGATCGTGGACGCACACTGCTGAGGAGTCCCACAATAGGACGAAACGGCCGTCCAGTGCTTCCAGGTTTCCAATTGTGGTGGTCTAACATCAATCGGTTCATGATCTCAATCAAAAACAGTTGGAACACTCTGAAATCTCTGAATTCGGATTAGTGCAAAAAGGTACATGAATAAATAAGCGAATATCCTGACCACAACGTACGATAATTTGGGAAAATACAATTATGTCCAAAACTAGGAATTAGGGTAGAAAATAAGGTGCGAAATATTATGTTTAAATTACAATAGTTTCGGAACAAAAAGGGGTATGGCAATCAATGATACATCGAACGAAAGCTCATGTTCGGTAGAATAAAATAGGGACAAAAATAGATATGTGTTTTACAAGGTTTGAATAAAATGAAATAACGTCCCAAGAAATAGCTTTCGTAGTTTGTCTGGGCTTCTTATTTCCCTGTTCACAACAAATCCCTAGACTGTCGAACACAGAGTCTTGGTTCAGCCAAAGTCAGAACAAGTAAGCAATTTGGCTCGATAAACTTTATCTGTTTCTAAAACGTAAACTAACACCGTTAGTGTACAAAACAAACAGTACAGTCTATAAACGCAGGGAAAAACAGAGACATAAATAACGTACCGAACAGTAGCTAGAGAATAGGAAAAATGAGCCAACAGAGCAAATATTGTTTTATAATAAACATCGAATTGTGATTGGTGAATAAATAAGACACAGTCATACAAGGTCAAGAAAAGTTAGTATGATGGTGAACGTTTCACTTCACTATTGGTGAGTTTGTTTATCGATCACATTTTACAGCTTCCGTTGTACTTCGTAGGTTGTTCAAGACCCGAGAAAGATTGACTCGCGATGAGCAGGCTGGTTTTTGTTCCGGTTGAGGATGTATCGATCATATCTTCACCCTCCGCCAAATGTTAGAATACCATCATACTTATCAAAGGCCAACAATCATAGTGTTTCTTGACATCAGGGCTGCCTTCGATTCGTTGGACAGGACTATTCTCTGGGACTGTCTATTGAAGGAGGGTGTGCCTGAGAAGTTTATTAACATCCTAAAGGCCCTATATACGAAAACCTCCGCGTCGGTGAGAGCAGTTTTGCTCTATGCTTGTGAAACCTGGCCTCTCCGAGTTGAGGATGTTAGACGACTCTTTGTGTTCGATTATCGCTGTCTCCTAAGGATTGCTGACATCCAGTGACAACACCATGTTAGTAATGCAGAGGTTTGGCATCGTGTGTTCGGGCACAGTGACGATAATGCAATTGGTGTCACTATCTTGAAACACCAACTTCGGTGGCTTGGACGTGTCCTACGAATGTCGTCCCAGAGAATTCCACGTCGTGCATTATTTGCCGACTCTGGGACTGGTTGGGAAAAGCGGAGAGGTGGTCAGTGCATGACATGGTGTCGTGGTATGAAAGAAAGCTGCAAAGGACTGGCTTGTGTTGGTCCTTCACGACTCCCTGGTTGGGGTCTGAGAGATGGTGCAACACAGTGGCTAGAGACGTTATCAGATATTGCTCAGAATAGAAGCCAGTGGCGATCCTGTTGTAACCTTCTTTTACTTTCTTCATAAAAAGTGGTTGCTTCTTCCTTAACTGAAAGATTTCTTCTGATTGTACCTTTTCGTTTCCCTCATTATTATTATTACACTACCTTACACTAATCTGTACGTTATTGTTTTTCTACGCTCCTTACTTTTTTTCCTTCTTCTCTTCAAATTCTCATTGTTTTGTGTGGCGTATATGTAATTGGTGCCCTCTTGTACCAATATTTATGTGTTCAAATTAAGAAATAATCTGAATGTGTGGTAGCTCCTCTCCTGGTTCTCAAATCTTGGATTGACGTTGTGAATTTTTTACTGATGCAAATATGATGTATCTGGTTCTCCGTGTTGTGATCAGGAGAGACTCATGTAGCTTTGTGTGTGTGCATGTGTGGGAATATTGTCCCGCCTATAACCAATTTGTTGGGTGCACGTAGGTTTGCGAATTTCTCCTCATTTTCGGTTCTCTATCCCAGTCCAAGTTGTCCCATGCTATCTTTATATCGGGTGTTGTGCATTCCAACTTTGACGTTTAGGTCTCCCATCAGTATGGTGATATCCTTTCTTTTGCAGTTCTCTGTAATTGATTGTAGCCTCTCATATAACTGATTTTTGTTGTCGTCGTTGCTATAATTGATGGGTGCATAGCATTGGATAACATTCATTGTGATCCTCTCCTTCTTTGTTTTGAAGGATGCTTTGATGATTCTGGATCCATGAGATTCCCATCCTATAAATGCATCACGTGCTTCTTTGAATAGCATCAGACCAACTTTTTGTGAATGAAAGGCATTTTGATCATCGCGACCAGAGTACAGCAGCATCTCTCTCTAATCTAACATTCTCTTCCAGCCTGGGTCCAATGGGTTTCACTTATTCCAAGCAAAGCCAAGTGGTATCTCCTCATTTCCGTTGCTATTTGATTAGTCTTTCCAGTCTCATACATTGTCCTGACATTCCATGTACATATGTTAATTTTTGCTCTGGTTGTTAGAAGAAACGTCGGCCTCGCGACTCAGCTCTCACCACGAGGTGTCATAATTATTCTGAATGAAGACATTTCAACTTCCATGGCAGAGTTTAGATGGCTTAAATTGTTTATTCTGGTTAGTGTTTTCTCTAGCAAGGTTGTCTACGGGGTGGAGTTGCTAACCCCATACCCAACCGTCTTCCTTTACCCGGACTTGGGAGCCGTTGTAACTCTAGTAGGGTCGTCCAGATTATACATATTTGGTTATTTGTTCAACTACTTCAAAGTAGTTCCTCAATTCAACCACTCAGTGTTCTGATAAATTCACTGCTGTAATTTAAATTTTACAAATTCCTATTACTAGCAAGCATATATATATAATTACGCTCTTCGGTATTTTATTTTATTAAAGCTGCCTGTTTTTCTGGACATAACCGATCAATACATTGCATTCATTTCAACCCAACCATTAGCACGGAACTAGTAACAGCATCACAAGATGGTAAATTAAAGCTGTTTGTAAGTTTGTTTTATTAAACCACTATTATTCAGGGTTATTAAATTGCTGTTATTGACTTACTAGTATTCCTGTCAGTGATTGCTCATTTTGAGTCATAACAAGATAAAGATTCTCCAGATTCATCCAACAATCTAATATATGTGGGAGGCCAACTATCCATATACGTTCTTGTATTATCTAATAACGAAATACCGTGACAGTAGATCAGTTAAATTTCCAATAGTACGTCGAATAATTTTATCTTTATAACTATACAAGCAGTATAATCATAATGAATTATTATAATTATTAATTACTTGATTGAAATTGATATATCCATATACTTATAAAATGGTTACACCTGTAATCGACTCTTCTGTTCGATGTTAACTGATCACATCACTGGGCAATGAATTTTACATGATATAACTATATTTTTTTATATTTGGAGTTACAATTAGAGTATTGTTTTTTTTAAGTCAGTTGATAAGACATTAATCATATGTTAATGTCCTTTTTACACTTATTACAATCTTTCAATTTTTAAGCGATGATTTATTTTGATTAAGTGCTTGTTTACTTTGAATGTGTGTTTGAAAACAATCATTCTAAATTATCAGTATAGGGTAGTGGAGATTACTAAGTTATTGGTTGAGGTTTTGAACCGATTGATGTTAGACCACCACAATTGGAAACCTGGAAGCACTGTACGGCCGTTTCGTCCTATTGTGGGACTTCTCAACAGTGCGCACCCACGATCCCGCTCGCGGGATTCGAACTCAGGGTGCGCGTGAACGCTTAACCCACTAGACCACCGACTCGGCATCCAACGGCGTTGATGTCTAACCTCAACCAATCCACAAAATCATTCTAAATTATATTACAATGTTAATGGGATGTAGGTTTTGCGTCATTTCATCTTGTTTGTTTGTTTTTCTGCAAAAAGAGCTTATTTTTCAAGTTAATAGTTTAATTCACATGAAGTATAACTTGCTGTTCGGTTAGCCGTGTTATCTCGTGGAACTTACAGTCAAACATGTACATAGTTTTTAATGAGTTAAATTAACAATCAGTGCATCATCGGCAAAGGATAAATCATGCATTACAATTGTCTGTAGATTATTCCCATGAAAAATGTCTATTCGTGATAAATATATTGAAATTCGAACAGTAGGGTTTTCTAGTCAAGTTAGTATACCATCGTTTGGTAATACAATTTTAGTTTCATCTTGAATCGTGGTAATCTTCGTGATGAGGGAAAAATTTTAAGACGTGTAATAATCCCACTTTGATTCGACTTCCAACCACTAATTTCGGGTTCCAACTCGACTTGACCTATCATGGTTTGGGCATCTGCGTATTCTCACTAACTCTTACCAGTGCAACTTAAAGCCAAGTACACCTGTGTGTGCCTAGTAAATGAGTGTTTCTAAACAGAATTTCTATTCGACATTAATCAATAGTTTAATAATTCAGGATCCCATGTACCAGTTTGTTTTCTTGGATACAGATCACATTCATTGTATAGAGGCCAGATTCAATATTTCTTTTCTGCTCTGACCAAGCTGGATAAAGCTGAGTTTGATCCTAGAATCTTTGGTCCGCCTCTCAAACACCGAAAATCTCTGTATTGAATATAGATAGTTGCTTAGTACGTTATATTGCCCATTGATAGGCTGATAATCCATGGTTTTAGGAGAAAGTATCATATTTAAATGACACTGCTTTAGTGAATTCAATCTGTACCAATCATTAGTTGTTTATGTTCTCTTTTTTTCTAAAATAAATATCAGTCGCTAAGTATGTTCTTAAATATGAACTATGACCACAAGTAAATGAGTAATAAGTTCAACTGTTTAGTTATTATTCTATTTTTTAAAGGATATTCGTGATCCGAATCCAATTTCTTCATGTCAAATATTCTTCCAAAGAACTGCTTCACCATCTCCCGTGAGAGATGTATCATTTTGTCCTAAGCAAGGATTCTTGATTGCAGCTGCTCAGGAAAATGGTGTTATCAGTATATGGGATACGAGAAAAGGTTCACGTCCCTTTCGTGCTTTCCAAGGTCATTCATGTTCAATAGCCACACTGGACTGGCATCCAAATTGGAACGTAACAACGTGAGAAAGCATAGTTTTCCAGTTTATGGTTATTGCCATTGCTAATAAATTCTGTATTAGTCACTCATAATCAACAAACGTCGTGAAACAAATATTTATCAACCATGGTTACCACAACACAACACAGCGATATGAAATTAACAAGATCAATAGTATCAATAATGACGAGAGAGACTAAAAATTGTTAAATGACTTTGCTGTTGATGAAGTTCTGGAAACAGCTCTGATGGATGCAGGTAATGGTGATGTGGATCTAGAGAAAAGATTTTCGACCTTGAGTATGCGGATGATATTGTCTTACTGTGCTATAATACCCAAGCCATGTAATCCGCACTTAATCAGTTGGCAATTAGTGTCCGTAGATATGGTATGTGTTTTGCACCTTCGAAGTGCAAAGTACTTTTGCAAGACTGGCAGGACCCTGATTCTGCACTCACCTCGGGTAGTGAGCAGATAGAAGTGGCTGCGTGAGTGACGAAGTCAATTCACGTGTAGTGAAAGCTAGAGAGGTTTATTCCAATCTGTACCATCTTTGGCACCTTTGTGACGTTAATCTGGCTGTCAAAGTTCGGATGTACAACATGTCAGTGAGGGCAGTTTTGCTTTATGCTTGTGAAACCTTGCCTCTCCGAGTAGAGAATGTTAGACGGCTCTCCGTGTTTCAATCATCGTTGTCTCCGAATGATTGCTAACATCCAGTGACAACACCATGTTAGTAATGCCGAGGTTCGGCACTGTGTATTCGGGCACGGCGACGATATTTAAATTAGTGTTTCTATCTTGAAACATCGACTTCGGTGGCTTGGATATGTCCTACGAATGCCGTTCCAGAGAATTCCATGTCGTGCATTATTTGCCGACTCTGGGACTGGTTGGGAAAAGCGGAGAGGTAGTCAGTGTATAACGTGGTTTTGTGGTATGGAAGAAAGCTGTACATGGCCGTTTCGTCCCAGCATGAGACTCTTCAGCGTCTACAACCCCACACACGGGAATCTAATGCGTTATAATCTGTTTCGCATGCAATTATTTGATTTCTAAACCAGTAAGCCGCCGTCCAACAGTGTAAATGCCTAGCTGTAATCAATCCATTACATTGCGTGACCATCTTCCATCGTCTTAGCTCCACTGGTCATGGTTTCTCATTAGAACATAAATATTTAGCCTGTACAATGTCGAATAATTTCATTTTCTTTTTTAATTTAAAAAACAGTTGTAACTGGTTAGCAACTGCTGGTGCTAGAGATCATTTAATCAAAGTGTGGAATTTAAATAGTCCCAGCGGGCAAAGTTCTGTTACTTGTCCTAGTGTTTTATATACTGTACGTACTTCCAATGTAAATCGTGTTCGTTGGAGACCTACTTTTGTACGTATGTATTTTGATTCATTAATGTGTAATTTTAAACATATATGTTTATGGGTTTGTTATGTAGTTAATAGAAATCCGGTGATATATATCAACTGATGATATGATTACTTCCACCCTTCTTTGATTTCCGTTAACTTTTCAGTCTGTATAATTTTCAATTAAGAACTAATTCTGTATTAATAAGTTTTTCAAAACAGGTGTTCATGCGTTTAAACAGTTGAATACATTCCAGTATTGGGTAACGGGTTCTTGAAGTTCTCTCCAGCTTCACGACTAGATTTATATCAGCAGATGAATTAAATTTTATCAGACTAATGTCGTTATCACTTCTAAAGATATCAATTGTTACATTCAGTTTTATTTTTGTTTAACTCGACTTAAAGTCTACTGAATGTGCTTTCAATTGGTATTTACTTTGAGAACTATTTTTTTTTCTCATAAAATTTTATCATTGACCAGATGACTCAACTTGTCTCCAGTTGTAACCTTACAATCGATCTTAGTGTACATATTTGGGATTTACAACGACCATTCATTCCATATGTATCATTTGAAGAGCATAAAGATCTTGTAACATGTAAGTTTGTAATGAATATTCATGTTTTTTTTATCCTGTCATATATCGTAGGCATTCAATACGAAGTTTTTTATAGGATCACTATTCAGAAAAAAGTATTTAGGCAGACCTGTTATGATCTTAGCTATACAATGTCGTGAAATTCTTTTGTCAATTTAGATATGCAGACTTATACGACCAAACCAATGACGCATACACGTGTACGGGCAGCCTAGAGTCTCCATTGGTGCTTTTTCCGCCTGTCCATGCCTGTTAACTCCAGAACGCCAATGTCAGCCTCCGCGATACATACTTCATATATATTTCAGACCTCGTTTACATACGAACGAATCAGACCACATCACACCTTAAAATAGAAAATAGCATTTGTACAAGTTCAAGCCGAAAGTGGCTGTGATTGTGAGAGTGTTACTAATAACTTGGGAATATCTCAAAAATAGTAAATCGTATGATAATAATCAGTAGGTGAAATGAAAGCTTATAATAAAAGAAATATGAATGTACATGTATTATAGTCACTTAATAGCTATACATTAAGAATATACGTATAATATTAGTCCATAAATAGGTCTCAACAGTTACCTGTCATTATTCTCGTCGGCATATAACAAGACATACTTATATCTTTATCATTTACGTTCTTACATCAATGATAAAATCCTATACTTATTTTTAATGAGGAATTATCTATAGACTATTTCATGAGTTAATAAACTGAATACTGTACTATATCATTGTTCAGAGTTAACCTTTTGAAATTGTAACGGTATACACTAACTTCAAAATCGTAGCACACTTAAATAAGAACCACTTTTGTGTAGTTAAAATATTGGCTTAGTGTTTAAAGCCTATTTAATTTTTAGCCTGTAGGTCGAATGTTTGAACCCTATTCTTATCCTACTTCGATAACGTGTTGTAGTTACAAACTTTTTCCATATGGAAATTGAATGACTACAAAAGGGTTTCGTCAAGGAATCTTTCAATATTCAATCGATTGACATATATTCTGATAAATTTTCCTTTTTTTTTGGAACCGAGTAGAACGAATATCGAGGTTATGAGAAAATTAGTTTTGAATAATTTTAATACGGATTTGTAAAACTAAATAATATTTACTAATCAGTGCATTAAATTTGATCAGTCTTTCAAACATATGCCTCGATGTCGTGTGCATTTAAAAGTTGATTATACTATTGAATACCAGTTAACAATGAAGTCCAGGACCTTTGTTTTATTCTATTCAGAACTTTTACATCAACAAAGAGAGAGTTTAATGAAATATAACTTGGAATGTTAACAGTGAGAGAATACCAAATGATTGCGATTGATAATGATTAATATGCTTATAGAATAAGTTTGGGACTACCACATCTCAACGTAATGGATAATATTTTAGTGTTTGCATTATTTGCTTCTTGGTCTGAGTATCAGTATTGAACTCGACACTGTGTCTCAGGTACTTCCGACTGACGAGTTTCAATTAAAATGAAACGCACACCCTGGATGTCACCACTGGATACTATCTAAAATGATAGTATTATTCATTTGACCCAGCACCTTGTATGTTAAATGCAATAATCTCAGCTAAGTGCTTACAAATATCTGAATTCGCTTTTTTTGTTTCCAGTTTGTTACATCTACAGAAATTACGATTCCAGAACATTATTGCTTGTTTTACAACTTTTATAATTATTCTTCAATATTATCATAACAGATGTATATTATAATGAAGAAAAAACTAACCTAGAGTGTTGAATGATTCGTAGATGAACTAAGTAATCATGTTGCGTTACTCATTTCTGTTTGTCCTTCATTCTAGTTAATACCCTTGAGATTTTTAATTATCTTATATACCAGTCTTTGGCTTTACCGGCGCCAATTATTTATCATAAGTACTCAAGTTGTTTAGTGAATGTCTCGTTCATAGTCACTAAAGTCGAATTTGGAAATTGTTAGCTTGGTGCATAGGCGTATCACAATGATACAGAGATAATTAAGAAAAAACGAATGTACTATTTCACCTATGAATTGTTAGTTTCTTAATCACTGTAGAATATGGTGCATCTTTCTTGTAGTTGGTAGGTAGCAATATGATGTATGTGCAAGAACATTATTGTAGAGAGATATTCCAACAAGTTGGTTTTTTCCTTCGAATAATGAAAGACTATTGAGAATAATTGTTTCGTTCTAAAACCTTAACTGTACTCATCCAAAGCCTTTCATGGGACCCGAACTAATTCAATTTCTCTGACAGTTCACTTGGTGTTACTAAAGTAAAGTCATCAAGACCTAGTTTTATTGTGGCCTGATTCAACGTTTAATGTGTTCTTTGGCAGTTATTTATGCATTCGGTAAATATAACCTGCATTGTTTTACCTAGGAATCACGTATTTCAGATAAATAACGATCTAGTGATTATTGTGTTTATTTTAAATTTCCAAATTCATTATAACAGTAATCATTTTAGACTTAATACTAATTTTGGTTTATTTTTCTGTTCTTAGGCATATCTTGGTGTCCTGCTGAAACGAATAACTTTATACTGTCGGTCGTGATGGTTTACTTATTCGTCATAGTGTAGAAGATGGTGTTCAACCGATAGAGAATGCGCCACCCGTGGCTTTATCTTTTAGTCCATATGGACATTTACTACATGCTGTTCGTAAAGATCGTGTTGAAATTAATAATAAGTTGTCAACAGTGGAAGAAAATAGTAAAGTGTCATATCCTATAAGTAAGTTAGTGTTTTCATAAGCATTCATGAAACATGTTTATTTGTCTTCATACGCAGTACTCTTGCCAAAAGAATGCTGGTTCATACATTAATATTTCTAGATAGTTCTATCGATTGAATTACAATTATACTTTTATTTATTTGCTTGCGTGACATTTTGATACTTTCTAATGATTCCTTACGATCTTTGTTACATAATACTATATAGCTTTTGATGAACCACTTAAATGAGAAATGAATCGGTTCCAAGCATGAAAAGTACAATGAGATAACTAAACATAACAATAGGTCTGGATTAAGATGGGATTTTCAACGATTCCAGATTTTCCACAGATTTCCAGCTGTAAAATCAGTTTGTGATGAATATTAATTGCAAATTGAATATTCTCTACAAATCTATTACTTTAAAAATAGCCATATACGCACAGCAGTGACTAGCTTTGAAATAAACTTCTAATATCCCAGTGAGATGTCTTACTTGGTAATTTTCAACTATATCAAGAATGAGACAGGTATCGTAGACCACTGTGCATGGACGTTGTTATCTGTTGCAAATTGATCGGGGCTAATTTATCTACTATTTATTTGAACACATAAACATTGGTACAAGGGAGCACCAAACACATATGCGCCACACAATATCAATGTGGACGGTAGTAGTTATCAGTGGTTTGTGTGAGGGCTGTGATACTTCCCGGGTGTCCAAACCGAAACAGGTGGTTTCCTTAAAAGGCCACATCCGTACCCTTTGACCTAGGGGTCTAATCCACAAGTCAGTGGAGCAACTTCGGGAGATGCAGTCTCATGGTAGCCGTTATCCAACAATAGGTTCATACGCCAATTGTTTCCTCAGGATCCTAGACCCCATATGCACCATTGGTTTGGAATCAGAGTTTTCCGACTTCCCTAGGTGGACCCACCGTATACATCAATCCGGTTAAAGCGTCGGCCATTCACTTTTCATCCTCTGAATTTTGTAAACAACAACCCCTCCACGAGAAGGCAGTGAGTATAACTTCCCTGACAGTAGTTGTGTTCATGTGTTCATATGGGAGAATTTTGAAAGGGAGAGCTGACTCTTCACAACCTCGACCGTACTAGGGCATTGGGGGCTAGAGATTTAGATCACTGGAGTTCAACTCATTGACCTAAATGTCATTTGTTCGGCTTGGCCTTGAACAGATCGATTCAGTATGCGTTCGTGGGTGCTCATTGCAAACGTGTCTTAAACTGCAACGTTCAGTAATCCATGATATTAGATAGTTCTTCAACTGTGATATAAGTCCGTAATGAGAACTAACTGTATATTGAAACCCATCATACAGTAATGTATGTTCGTAGAATGCACGTTACGCCAAAGGTTTACAACATCGAACGAACAATTTCTCAAGGTAATGGTGTAACTTAAACTTGTTTACCCTTCAAAATGATTGACTTTTCCTTTCCAGATTTCCTGATCATCTCTCTCTCTTCTTCCACTTATAATGCCAAGTTGAATTGTCGGGAAAATATTTTTGCCATCGGTTTGTATTAGTCCGAAAATTAAAAATATTGTTCAATAGCCGGAAGACAAACCAATTTGTTTCTTTTCTATGGTCTTTAGAACTATTCTCTAATATTAATATTGATTAGTTTTAAACATTCCATAATGTAATTTGATGTTATACTAGTGACAATTTACCAATGATTACTATAACATGTTTAGTATTCCTAGATAGCGATAATATGTACTTGAAAAATATTATTTCTAGAGATCACTTACCTAGTTATATAAACTAGAGTACTGATTAACTGATGTTTAATCTTAAAATCAGTTCTTTTTGTTGAATACAGTAAACAGTTCTACTTGTGTTTGTTCAGCCTGCGTTTATTTATCTTGTTGTTATTATGTTTTGTTTATTAAACGAGTTTTCTGATGTTTAGTTTGTGTTGGATTGGTTAAAGTTGGTTAATAATGTATTATCAAAAATATATCACAATTTAATTAATATGGTTTTTTTTGGTTAATTAGATGATTCTATGTCGATTTATTATTTGATTTTGTAGTATTTCTTTCTTCTCAATATTTTTCTAATTATCTTGTCAATAGCTACGAAAAATCAACCAACCTCTGTTCAACATTCCAATGGGAATGGATGCTCATTAAGTTACTATGGTCCGTCATATCCTACATCGACATTATCAACTGCTATTATTACTACTAATACTACGTCTACTACTACTACTACTACTGTTAATAACAGTAATGCTGGCGATACTCTTTTAAGTAATAAAGATTTTGAACATCCTACCGTAGTAGCTACATCTGGTAATGCTGATGAATTAGGGACTCAAATTATTACCAATACTTTAATTCCTTCTGAGTCAACTGTCAATATACCTAGTAATAACATTAATACTATCGGTACAACTGCCATCAACTCTGTTACCTCTAATATATTTACTAATTCCACTATTAATGAGTGTACAACAATCACAACAACATCATTGACAATTGCGTCACCTCCTTCCTCACCCGACCTACCTCAAATGGGATCTTTAAAGTCCGCACAACTATTCGTATCACAAGCTCATAGTCTTTTATTTCATTACAAACCGTGTTTAGAGGTATGAAAAATTTCCTGTTTTCTGTTTTTATTATCATTAATATGAAAAGTAGTAGCAAAATTGTTTTATCTTATGCGATCATTTCTTTATTCAAAGTTTCATATTATGGATTGATTTTAATTAGAAATTAAGGATTACTGGACAACTGATTTGTTTTTAGTGTTGGGCTCCTCAGCAGTATACATCAACGATCTCTTCAGGAGTCGAACCCTGTACCTTTTCTAGCTTTGCTTTACATCAATATTCGACAATCTTTTCTTTTTAACTGCCAATATCCTAAAACAAGACTATATTTTATAGTATTAAGTGGATTCATGTCTAGCCGCAGTTTGTTGGATCCCTTACATTATTTTTGTATGTATTTTAATGATGTTTATTCATTTCGTTTATCAATTTACTTATTGACATCGTGAACCGATCAGTGTTAGACTATCGTTAAAAACCTGAAAGCACTAGACTGTCGTTTCTCGCTGGTATGGGACTCCTCATCAGTACTCATCAGAGACCTCGCATTAAAGATTCGAACCGAGGATCTTCGATTTCGCTCAAACTTTCAACCTCTAGATCACTGAGTCAGCATGCAATGGAAATCGAAAGGTTCGATTCCTGTGTGCAGGACCGTGGACGAGTACTGCTGACGAGTTGCATACTAGGACGGAATGGCCATTCAGGGCTTCGAAGTCTTCAACGATAGTCTAACACTGAATGGTTCACGATCTCAATAGAAACCCAACAATATTCACAACCATATACTGATAACTTACTAATGGTTGTATTCACGAATCTTCTATATCATCATACGGCACGAATATGATGTTAAATTTCTAACGAAAGAGTTACATTTACTGTTACTGCTGCTTATTGTAGCGTAACTACTTCTTTTTCAACTAATCAAACACGTAAGTTAAATACTGCTACTGCTGTGTATTATGTTCGAGTATGGTGATTTCCAATGACGAATTGTTGTGTATTATGTCTGTTTGTATTATAAATGATAATGTCCAAAAGTGAATACTTCTTATTGGTTTTTGCAAGGCCTTCTTTGGAGTATGAATTGTATGAAAGAAAAGTAAGGGGGCTTTAAACGAGACGTGGGATCAATCCATGAAGTCATTTACCGTTGAACTGGCCCAGGATACTTAGTTGGATTTCTTACGATAACCGCAACAAGTGGTTAGGGAAGTTGAGTAATATGGCTCAGAAACAATCACAGTAGCACAGATAAATTCACCCTTTTGAGCTTTAATATTATTTGAGACTTTTTATTCTCCGATTTATTACCTTATTTATGGGCGGTTCTCTTCACCGTTTTGGTTTTTCGTAATGTAATTAATATTGCTATTATAATTTTAGCTCCCTTACTATTCATCTTGTTACCCCCCCCTCTATGTTGATATGGCTTAGCGAATATGGTTGATATATATTTATACCGCGTTGTTTATTAACTGTGACTGTGATGAGACATGAGCAGTGCTCAACTTTACTGCTTAGACGGTATAAGATATTGAGGTTGAAAATTTACATAACTTCTTATGAAATGCGGTGATTTTGCTGTAGTTTTCATATTGATAGTGTTCAGTCAACGATTAAACATTTGGCCGCAAGTTTTTTTGTTTACTAAGCTATTTCTGGATAGCTGAGTGCCCGTTGTAGTTTGGTAAATGAGATAAATTCTCGTATGGAGAAGTCAGAGGTGGTCGTACCAATCGAAACCACCTTTGCCACCGTCGTGACTTAAATTTTTTTACAAGATGTCGCATATGTTGTGTGCTAATAAAGGTTGTTATGATGTAAGCTTCTAAAACTGTCTCAAATGACCTGGTATGGCCTAGAGTGGGGAGAGTCAGCTCTCCCTATCAAAATGTTCTCACGTGAGCACGTGAATACAACCAATGCCAGGGAAGTTGTACTTACTACCTTCTCGCGGAACGATTGTTGTTTACGAAATTCAGGGGATGAAAAGTGAATGGCCGACGCTTTAACCGGATCGGTATATACGGTGGATCCACTTAGGGAAGTTGGAAAACTCTAATTCCAACCAATGGGCTTCAGGGTCCTAAAGGAACAATTGGCATATGAACCTATTGTTGGACAACGGCTACCATGAGACTGCATCTCCCGAAGTTGCTCTACTGACTTGTGGATTAGACCCCTAGGTCAAAGGGTACGGATGTGGCCTTTTAAGGAAACTACCTGTTTCGGTTTGGCGCTTGCACAGTATCTCATCCTTCACCCAAATCGAATGATTTATGTGATGTATATGTATTTGATGCCCCTTGTACCAATGTTTATGTGTTTAAATTAATGAACAAAACTTAGTTTACCTGATCGGGATATGTTTGGTGATTGTGTTCGATAATCATTGTCTATCAAGAATCATTCTTATCGCATAACATCATATAAAGTTCCTCAATGGTATGTTCGTCTATGTGTGCAACCTTTTACTCGTCTGTTTGTCTACGTTGCGTTATTACTTTTCGTTGTGTTTCATGTTTCCTATGTCTTATTATACCGAATTTTGTGTCTGTTATACATATATTGTCACTGAATTGTTGCATTCATAATGACTTCCGTGCTCGTATAACTTATATTCTATGTAGTAAAATTAATGATAGGTTTATTATTAACGATTATGAGATGTTTTTTTTAGTTCAAATCATGAACTGATCATAGCTTGACCACCGTTAATAACCTGAAATTACTTGATAGCCGTTTCACCCTAGCATGCAACTCCTCAGCATTGCCCATCCACGACAATCTCCACAAATCCCCCATAACACTAATAATCATGTTCTCATTAGCAACTAGCTTCAAGATATAACTACTGCAGTTCTAGAGAGTCATGACCAACGAAATTCCACCATGTAAAATATGAGACAGTTATCCACTACAGGTAATCGAAAATAGTCGCTCAAGATCGTGAGTTGATTGAAGTTAAACAAATATATTATTGCATGCCAGCTCAATGGTCTGAAAGTTAAGTGTTCGCGCGCCAAACAAAAACTCCTCGGTCCTGTTGGTGAATGTGGTGGCGATAGGACGATAAGGTCATCTATTGCTTCCAGGTTTTCACTCGTGACCTAGCTAAGATCAGTTCATGATTTAAACCCGAAAATTCTACTATCTCCCCAAATCCTTTTATTATAGTATATATACCGCATATTTCCAATTATTTTAGACAATTTTCCAACCTAACTATTTTGATTTCACCAATGCTCTACTACCTGATCTAATTATTTTATTGGCCAAAAATTATAAGTTTATTGGAACTAATGTGGATATGATTTGTGAATATAATGCCAGTGTCTGTTTACGATTTGGTCAACCGTTTGTAAGTCTGTTGTTTTTCAAAAATAAATTCTTTGTTTCTGCTCATTTTTTGTAGTACTATGAACTAGATGTATAAAACAATCTTTTCACAGGTTATTAATATGTAGTATAGTGAAAGATATTACAATATCAATCAGAAACAATAGATATATTAACCAGATCTGGGACAAATGTTTATTGGTTCATAAATAATTCATCGGGATAATTGCTAACATATTTTAACCTATATTACATGAGGTCTTCAACATCAAATTGTTATTGTTTTGATGAGCACAACAAGGTAGTCTGCACGCATCTAAATTCCTTAAACATACAGTTAATAATATCATTGAGTTACTTCATGTACGGCTGCTATTATACTTTTTCTAAACGTGTTCTCATGCTAGTCTGTGTAGCATACATACACCCTTATATCACAAGTAAGGCAAAGTAAAAGAAGTCTAACAAACTTTTTTATATCCATACTTAGTTTTTCTAAGCCTCCAAAATGATGGATTCGATATAATATCCGAAGTTTTCAATGCGTTAAGGTTTGCTTCCCGTGCTCAAACTAACCATTGATCCAGACAAGTTTTAAAGAACTAAACCTCACTCATTTTCTGATTTCATTAAACAGAACAATGTTGTTTATGTACTTGAAGTTATTAGGTAAAAATGTATAATATATCATTCTTGCGTTGTTTGTTTGAATCTTCCCATTGATGTTTAGGACTGTAGTTGATCAGTCTCTTTTTGGTATATGTTTATCCTGTGCGGATTGCCTCGAGTCACAAGTTTTTAAAGCAGAGATGGATGGTGATTGGCAGTAGAATCTAAAATGTGCACTTCTTCCAATTTGCGACTTGTCAACTGGATGTACCTACATCCGGGAATTGATGTTCACTCCGGATTCAAACCCAGTACCGTTCGCTTTAAACGCCATTGTAACCCATTACGCAAGCTAGTGGCTATTTGAACTCAGTATCTAAGTGGTTAACACGATGACGTTTGAAACGAACGGTACTGGGTCTGATTCCCGGAGTGCACATCAACTCGGATTCACGTACATCCAGCAAACAAGTCCCAAGTAGGACGAGACGCGCATCCTGAATTCCACTGCTGCCCACCATCCATGTTTGCTTATAATTTGACACATCGATTCATTTGGGTGTAATATTATGTATTCAGTAATAGAACCCGGTTCATTTAACAAAGTATTTTAGGGTATTTATTTATAAATCGTGGTGTTACACAATTCTTAAATAATCAAGCTGTTTTAATGTATTTGGACGTAGATCACGCGCTGGTTTATAAATTGTTCATACTACATAATTTATGATACTTTTCCACTGTCTTAATCGTGGGAACATGTTCTTAACTTTAAAGCAGATCATTACGTAGAGTCACAAGTCACTTTAATTGAACAAAACCAGCCAATGAAAGTATTTAGAAGCTGTAGTGTGGAGATCTCGAATGAAGAGATCATCAATTTATCCTGGATAAAACTACCGTTGTTTTAATCAAGTCGAAAACAACCTTAAAGTCTGAAAATATTCAATTATATATGGTTCTGTATTGAGTAAAATGACTACAATTTAATAATTTACATTTAAGAACATAAAACCATTGGTCATTGTTTATCTTGTGGTCACTACGTTATTGATTTTTATTTAGTTAGTACGATTCTGGCTATTGTTACGTTCAATTTATGGTAGTCTTAGTTCTGATCCACATAAACGTACATCATCTCAACAACATGCAACGCAGACTCAACCATCAACACCATCGCATCAACATCAGCAATTATATAATTTTTCAGATTTAGACAATCAATATTCCAAACATATTCAATCGTCACTGATTAATGAGAAGTTTGTTCCGCCTACTGATTCATCACGTGTTCATATTCCGGAGAATAAAACTTTGAAATGTTTCCGTAATTCTGGTGCATTAAGACGTAAAAAACGCGACACGGAAACAAATGACACTACTGGCATTAAATTATCAAGGATTTTAGAATCGTTAGGTATTCGAAGTCGAGAATCTGCACAATTAACTGAAAAGACGAAAACTAATGTGAATATAGATTATAGTAAGTTTAACTAATATTTAATCCTTTCAACTTATTCACTCAATAATACATGTGTTTTCACAGTTTCTGGGATATTGCGAAATATATTAAGAATTACTAATTGATAATATACTTTTAACATTCTATGTCATCTCATATAGTCATGTCTTTTTCCCAATTACCATCCCAGACTATACATTCACTTGACATTTGTAGCTGATCTTATCAACTTATCTTACTCAACTTAGTTTTCCACAAGAAGGCATAAATTATTCAACAAACTTGAACTTTTACAGTCTAATGTCTGGAGATATTATGCGTAAACACTGTTCTAAAATTAAAACTTCTATCCATCGAACATGTTGACTGAATAACTTTTTGATATATATTAAGATACTATCTAATAGCTTTTTCATCAACATGAATCCTACCTTGCAGTTTACTCTATTTCTGGTCTTAACACCCGGAGATTATGGTAACTCTTCTTTCTTTCCCTGTAAAAATACTTATTAAAATGTGACATCAGTCTATCAAGTTCTTGAAGGTAAACTGACTCGAATAGGTAGGTGCACACAATTTTATGCGAGTCCTTATGATTATCGTTACTAACGACTAAATACTCCATGAGACTTGGCTTTGGATCGTTCACAATGTTACAGGTGCATTCATTTTTGATCTTCTAAATACTGAGTTTCGAAATGTTATTAATTTTTTCTCCTTTTTCTACTTAATCTTTTCTACTTCTACTGATAATGTTACCACTTCTACTACTGTGAGATTCGTTTTAATAATTTCGTCTCACTATGCTAACCTGATGTGAAAATTCAAACTGATGCACAAATGTTCCAGGTCCTGTTTTGCATATGACTGATAGTTTTGAAGGTCAATACTGGTGTGGACGTACGTTTGGCCGACGAATCCTGCATCGAACGAAACGGCCATCCTGGATTTTTCTGTTTGCCACAATCTATCTAGTTTAGATAACCTAAACATCTCTGGCTTAACGTTTTGATTATAAGAAAGTTCTTCTTTAACTCAGATAGTAATCATATTCACTGGGCTTAAGAAAATAGTGTTTTCTTGTGCTATAAAAGACTTACAATTATTCGCTGTATACACTGTAGCAATAAGAATAGTATTTTTCATTAATGCCTATTTAACGTAAGTTTGATTTGTATTTGTAAGTGCTTAGTTTCTTACATCTAAGGTTAAAAATTTTATTGATCAAAATGTTATTTATTGTAATTATTTTTAAGTTGTGTATATGAATATTTTTGTTCTTCATATCGTTTAGCAAATTGACCTGATACACATGTGCTAAGTTCTTTGTTAGAATATAACCGACAGTATATTTTAACATTACACTATCTGCTGGGTGTTTTTTCTCTCTAGGAAGGCATTCATCCGGTAATGTTCGAGTTCAACACCATAGTGCTTCTAAACAATTTATCGATACTCTTCCACCTGTACAAAAGTTTCTGTCATGTTCTAGTTCAGCAAACAATGATCCAACTGATTGCGTATTCTCTAACATACCATCTATAGCTAATCCATACAACAATGACTGTTCCACATTGACAAATGATTTATTATTTCGTTCAACTAAACCAATATCTTTAAATATGGATTATGATAGCCTACATAAACCATTGGTAATTGACAATGATCAATTAATTCCATCCTTATCATCATCAGCATCGCCGCCAATTAGTCAACCTTCACAGTTTATTTTAAAAAGCCTTGAAGATGATATCTTAAATAATGGATTACTATTTCATAATTATCATGAAGATATTGACTATTTATTTCATACTACAAGTCCTCAGGAACCGTTAGAGCCTAGTCCTTTCATTGAAAATGATCCAGTTAAAAGGTATACAGTTGATTTTTAATTGTTCTATTTATTTTATATATTCACAAATTTTTCTTAGAAGATTTATTAAATAAATTAACATCGATTGTAACAAAACGATAGTTTTATCTATTATTTATTTATTTGAACACATAAATATTAGTACAAAGGGGCATCGAATACATATGCACCACACAAGTCACTTGATTTGTGTGTGGATTGTGATACTGCACGGGTGCCCAAACTGAAACAGGTGATTTCCTTAGGGGACCACACTCGGGGCCTTCGACCTAAAGGTCTGATCCACAAGGCAGTGGAGAAACGTCAGGAGATGCAGTCCCCTGGTAGCCGGCGACCAATAATTGGTTCATACGCCACTTGTTTCTTTAGGATGCTGGGGCCCATGTGCACCACTGGTTTAGAATCAGGGTTTTTCCAACTCCCCTTAGTGGACCCTCCGTATCCACCAACACGTTTAAGGCGTCGGACATTCACCTTTCATCCTCTGAATTTTGTAAACAACACCCCCGTCTCGAGGAGGCAGTGAGTAGGACATCCCTGGCAGTGGCTGTATACGTGTGATCATGTGAGAGCATTTCGAGAGGGAGACCAACCCTCCACATCCTCGGCATTTGGGAGCAATAGTACTCTTTTGTCGTAAGTTGAAATTAGATATACTGTGAAATGGTAACCAATTAATAAGGAAAAATTATCTTTGGTCGTATTAAAATATCGAATGCGTATCGTGAGAAAATCTTCAAAAATAAAAGAATATAACAGTTGACATAAACGTTTTTTCTTAGGGTCCTAATCAATATTATATATAGGAACCGTTTACTGCATACATCTATTAGCGACCAAAGCACACATAAATTACGAAGTGTCTATGAATAAATTAAAATAATTCATTATTATCACCAATGGTTGTATAGTAAGTAGTTACTTACTAAATTGTACGGGATTTTGGGATGATGTTTACAGTCTGAGGAAATTTCACATCCTTCTTAACCATTTGTTATATGTCTCTCTGTACATTTTATCAGTGACATTACTACTTTTTTTTTCCAGAAGGCCAGATCAATTAGATCTTATTGAAGGTAACTATTATGATAATAAATGTATAATAATTTCATATTATACTTTATAAGTGTTTTAAATTAACCTTAATTAAATCGGTATTGTAAATTGTTCATTTGTAAAGTTAAATGTTTTTTATACTTAACATTTGTAATCAGTCTTCTTTTTGTATTATTTCTCTATCTATCTTCGATTATGAAACGCATTGATATCTAGATTTCGTAGATCACTGCTTTAGTTTTCACAAAAAATTATGCATATACATTTTAATTTTTTTACTCACTATTATGTATCTGTATGCATATAATAGATTGTTTTGAACGTAGGCTTTCTAACTAATTATCACATTTCAAAATTAAATACCTGCATTCTTGAGGATACTGTTACTACCATTTATGGTTCCAACTCATAATTATCGTTACAAACTTTACTACTGGGATATACTGACTGTAAATGTTGAGGATGTTAGATCCCCAGACGTCACTTGATAAACGTCCCATTTTTATAATTTTATTTCGTTAACTTATGAGTAGAGTTAATTAGTTAAATTATTTAAACACATAAACTTTTGTACAAAAGGCACACCAAAATATGTATGAGCTACACAAATCATTGAATTTATGTATGGGTTTGGATACTCCCCAGTTGCCCAAACCGAAGCAAGTGGTTTTCATAGAAGGTCACTCCCCAAGCCTTTGACCAAGAGGTCTAGTCCACAAGGCAGTGGATCAAACGTTGGGAGAGATGCTGTCCGAAGGGGGATGTAGAAAAAAAAAAAACAAATAGTATAGAAAATAACAATAAATAAAATCGTTTATTAGAGCTAATTCGACCAAGGAAGAGATAAAGGTGTTGAAAATTTCTTGTGAATACAAAGACTTGAATTGTCAGCTTGAATCTCTATAGCCTCGGTCACTTATAAGAGACGAAATCGAACTGCCTAAGAAAAATTAGTATTTTTGGGATGCTAGATCCTCAGAACTCACTTAATAAACGTCTTATTATTGTAATTTTATTTTGAAAACGTAGCAGTAACCTATCTGTGTCACTGAGTTGTTATTTAGAACTAGTTTCAGTAACTTAGTTCCTTTTTTCACTCTTGGTATTATCTCTGAATGATATGTTTATGGTTTATTTGTTTTCTTCTAATGTTCTAAATGTGTTTATTTGTTTAGCGATCGGTTCACATGACGATCCTGTAATTATGGAAACAGATTATCTACCCGATGAAGCATTTGTCACTAATACTAATACTACGGCGGCTGTTAATATTACTCCCGAACTTTTTCAAAATTCTAACCAATTAAAGTATAAACAAAAAGAATCATGTTTAATTCATAATCAAAAACGTCAATTAACGAAACAAAATACAGTTGAATGTAGTACAAAAAATGATCAGCGGCAATCGACTTCAATTACAACTAATGCTAATGATAATTGTAAAGTTGTATCATGTTGTGTTGATATACCAGTATCTAGAAAAAATCATTCATCTTCAAAACTTCAACGAAAATCAATGGATTGTAGTAAATTATTAGCTTCTAATTGTCATGATTTATCATTAATTGACCGGCAAAACAGCCAAATTTTATCAGCATCAAGTTTTCCTGGTTTATATACTGCTACTAGCACTATTGCTACAACTGTCCCATTAAATAATGATGTTGATTGGTGAGTAAATCGACTTCTAAGAGATTTCGATCAATATTAAGTTGTTATATTTTGGTGTCTGTTCAATGTACTGACCTACGTGTTACGAAAAATCTAACCTAAAATTCACTGAGTCATAATAGCAATAGTCTAAGAGACATCAGGTATTAAATAGCATAATCTAATCAGGTTAATGTGTTGAAATATTCAATCTTCAGTATGTAGAGACTTGAATGTTATACCACTGCTACTACTGTACAATTAAAACACTTCAACTGCTTTTGACTCAACGTATATCATAAGAGAAAACAGAATTTAACTTTATCTTCTTTATCTAAAACTAAATCTCAGATTCCACAGCATTTCATGATATTTTACCTTGAAGCTGTTTGTCGATCTTTAGAATAATATTAGTATTAAAAATTAAAGTAGTAGGTATTCACAAAATAATATAAAAATGTTTGCATATTGTATCGTATGTTATCTATTGTCTTGTAAATTGCTATTTGCATTTGTAAGGCATCTTCTATCTACAACTGTAGTTTGGCGTAAGGATTAGGCTGAAAACGGTTAGGGGGGCGTAACCACCATATGGAATCAGTCTGTGAAATCATCTCCCTTCAAATTCTGATCTGAAAAATGCTGTAACTTTTTCTCATTTCTATATCTATTTTTTTCTACTTCTACTGATAATGTTACCACTTCTACTACTATTTGATTTATTTTAATAATTTTGTCTCACTGTGCTAACATGATATGATATGGGAACTAAGGCTGATGCGCGTATGTTCAAGGTTCTACGTTGAACGTAGAGGACAAAATCAAACCACATTATACTTTTTCGTTTATTAGTTCTTACGAACTGGAGTATGAAAACGTCAACATCTGGGGGGGGGGAAGGATGGGATACAGTGAAAAACTAGGATGCAGCTGGACGATCTAGATTTCCCAGATGATCTGGCTCTTCTATCGCACATGCAGGAGAAGACGATCAGTGTAGCAGAAATAGGTTTCAATGCATACAAAGTAAAAAGCAAGATTCTCCTACACAACACAGCATGCACTAATCAAATCACACTTGTAGGAGAAGCTTTGGAAGATGTAAAAACCTTTACATATTTGGGAAGCATCATTGATGAAGACGGCTGATCTGATGCAGATGTGAAAGCGCGAATTCGCAAGGCAACTGAAGGTCATCTGTAAGTCTAAGCAACTGTCAACCAACACCATGGTCAGGATTTTCAATACAAATGTCAAGTCAGTTCTACTGTATGGGCTGGAAACGTGGAGAACTCCAAAAGCCATCATCAAGAAAATATAGTATTTATTAACAATTGTCGGCGCAAAATACTTCGGATCCATTGGATAGACACTACAGCAACAACCTACTTTGGGAGAGAACAAACCAGATTCTAGTGATGGAAGAAATCAGGAAGAAGTGCTGGAATTGGATAGGACACACATTGAGGAAAGCACCAAACTGCGTCACAAGGCAAGCCCTCACTTGGAATCCTCAAGGCCAAGGGAAAAGAGGAAGACCAAAGAACACATTACGTCGAGAAATGGAGAGAGACATGATAAGTATGAACAAAAATTGGATAGAACTAGAAAGGAAGGCCCAGGAGGGAATGCGTTGGAGAATGCTGATCGGCGAACTATGCTTCATTGGGAGTAACAGGCGTAAGGAAGTAAATGAACATACATATAGTCTATTACTATTGATACATTAATTATGTGCTAAGATTATTTAGGTTATTCTTATGTTTATTTTCTATTTGTTTTACATTATTCTAATTGGTCATTATCAGACGTTGGTTTTTGTCATCTCACTTTACTGTGTTACGATATGCACTAGCTTCTTACTTTTCTATCTTGCTCTTTTATTATTTTCTTATAGTACACCTCTCATTCCATCATTTCATTCAAATGATGCTATTAACCAAGAAATAAAAAAGTGTTCTGATGAAACCTTGGTAAAGAATGATGATGGTGATGATGAACATGACGAATATAATTGTCCTCTTATCTCTCAATCCTTATTATCATCTTCACCGTCACAGTCAAATACCTCGTCCTTAGCAAAACAAAGATTGCTCGGGACTTGTAAAAGATCTGTTCAACTCTTAGCCCCACCTCATCATAGTAAATCATTATCTGGTTTCAGTAGAGAATCATCAATGTTATTAAATGGGTATACTGTGAATTCTGTTGGCTCTTTGTCTCCGATATCTGGAGATATCAATTCTATAATTTGTAAATGGCTTATAAAGTTGGTAAGTGAACTTATAACTTCTTTGTAACTAAGGTAATAATCTTACATAATATGAAGGTTTAACGTTTTAGTTTTGACCCGTATAACTAGTTTGAAAAACTTTTCGGATTACTCTTTTTGAGCTACAAATGTTTTGCTATAGATCAGTGGCTCAATGTTTAAGTCATTTTAATTTCAATCAAAGAGGTTCATTTTCAAGCGTCATTTTATCACATCCTGTTTGGATAGCAGTAAAGTAAAACTATCCCTTAAACAAACGCTGTTGCTTATAGCGTAGTGCATAAACGTTCAGATTGCTAGTGAATTGCATTTATACATATTTTCCAACATTACTTTGGATCTGTGTTGTAGTTACCGAACTTGTACTTCGTAAATCCTTCGTTACTCACCAATATGTATTCATGTTAGTTGTTCTTGTCACTATATGGCAACTTGGACCGATGCATATATGTGCCTGGTCCTACGTTGTAGCTGACTGACTGACTCTTGTCACTAACGCAATATCATGATCGAAGTTAAAATGACCGAGTAATTATTTTTTACTTCTAAATATAGAAATAGTGTTAGGTCTATCGAAGCGTCCATTTCACCTAATTGATATACTCGCAAAACCGAAGTTTGCAAAACAACAATTTGTCTAAAATATCGTTTTTTATATTCAATAATACACAAAAATTAGTTACAAACCGCAACTAGTAAAGTGTCTGTAGCGTTTAACGCGTCTTTTCGCATGGATTAAAAAAGGCTCCCTGTAGCAGTAACTTAAAGAATAATTACAACACACGATAGAGCAAAAGACAGCTGATATCTGTGTCTAAACTTGGTAACAGTTTATTAACAAGCAAAACCAGAACCAAGAGCAAGACAATATAGAAACTTTTGTGTTTAAACAAATGCACAAAACTGTAGGTAGCTGCTACAGTGATTGAGGTAAAGTAATCATAACGATAAATACAATAAATTTTATATTTCGGAATATTACAAGACAACTTGCGTTACAACATAAGTTTAAAAATTGCTAGGTATACAACTATTTACTGAATGTAAATAAGTAGTATAAAACAATACGCAAAAGAGTGGAAGAGAAGCGAGTAAGAAGTGTAAAACAAGTTTAACACCGCCCCTCAAAGACAGCATGTTCAATGCAAATGTTTCTGGCTGAAAATATTAAACTGATGATGAGATTCCTTTAAATAATGGAACAAAAGAGCGAAAACAAGTATGCTAGTAAGCCCATGATATTTTATGGAAAATTGCAGTCCTGAAACTTCACTCTGGTCTTTTTGACAGTAAAATACTAAACAATAAAATAAATCCACCCTTTTCTAGTTAACAAACGAATTCTATTCATGGATATAGAGTGTTAAACGCTTCAAAGAAATAAACAGACTGAAGCCTATGTCATACATCTTTCTATAATCGAAACCGACTTATTTATTATGTTATGCAATGAACCGTTTCTATATACATATCAATCAAGAAGTGCCCCAATGGAGAGTTCACTGGAATTTCTATTTGATGGTAGATTTTTTTGTTTAACAAACTGTGTATATTCACTGTACATCAAAGTAGCTCATGTAGGATTTTTAATGGTAGATCTATCTTTATTTTATGTTCTGAATAAACGATTCACAAGCATAATCCGTAGTCTTTATTAAAGAAGCATTAAAAAACAACTAATTGTTATCCAAAGAGTTCATTGTTTGGTTGTTAATGTTTTTTTTTTCTGTTATTTTCTCGATAACTGTAGATGTGTTTTTCAAATTATATTTAGTGCCTTTCAATCCCTGTGAATTGAACATGTCTGTAAGCTATCGAACTATTTCATGGTATGGTGAAATTAAGCATTTCCACTATTTGTTATACTAGTAAATTTTCAGTATCCTGCAATGCCTTGGTATATTTGTTCCTACGACCTTAAAATTGTATAACTAATCAAAAAGAATTTCATGTATTTAAGAACTCATTCTCCACTTTCTTTGGTTGTTCTCAACCAATAACTGACTTTGTTTAATCTCCTGTTCGCAACGTGAGAAGCATTCATTTTTTTTATCACTATACTTTGTATCTAAAATCACGACGTTAATTGTGTTTGATTTTGGTGAAATGTTTAAACCTTTTTGGGATTTTTTTGGCCAGATGATGGAAATAGATTATGATTATATTCATTTAATGCTTTAAACAATATAGTCACATAAATAATCGAATTGTCTATTGTGCATCACTTAAGTGATAGTTGAATTCATAATGTTCACTTGTTGTTTAGGTTGAATCTGGACATGTTCAAACTGTATGTACAGCATTATTGGCTTTGGGTCCGGAACGTTTACGTCTAAGCGAATGGATTAGCGAGTCTATTTTAGAACATTGGTTTATCTCATATTTAGGTAAATTTACTTTATTTTGTTGTATTGTATCTAATGTGTGTATTTTACTCAAATAGTTTATATGAAGTGAAAATTGATTGATACATGGGAATGGTAACTTCCGACCAAGTAGATTACGGATTCAAAATCGATTTCACCTTTTGTGTGTGTGTGTAGATGAAGAATACCATTAGCTGTCACAGTTTGGCAAAAAAATAAACGACTTCGTAAATCTGTACCTTGTAATTCCTGGAATTACTGTTGCAGCTAAATAAATCAATTACTCACAGAACCTATAATTGTAGTTTAAAACATAGAATACCTGGTCAACTAACTGTTATTTTTATATCAAACATTTATGTAAGATATTATCAATAAAAGAGCTACTTATCTAATCACACAAATAGATTATCAGTTTGGGGATTTGTTATAATCTCTTTCCTACAATATGACCCAGCTATTCCTATTGCTTAGTATTCTCGGACACCGATTCACTCGACAAGACCCCAAATCAGAACGCGGTTGAACAGGAAAGAGATTATATTCCAAATAACAAGGTTAGATGGAAGCAAAAAGCAGGTATGTAGTGCAATAGGGAAAACGCTAGTATATTTATAGTTTTTCACATGAGATTTCTAGTGTTCACTAAGTATTGGCTAACGCCGATTGGATAAGAATGAGCTAATCAGCATGCATCAAAGCAATCGTGCATTGAGCATGCTTTAATCCAGTCTATGTCCCGCTAACAGGATTTGTGGAGATTGTAGTATTTTCACAGTTGAATTCATGAGTTGATCTAAGTTAGACCACCGTTGTAAACCTGGAAGCGCTAGGATGAAACAACCCATGAATTCAACTACGAAGAAAACAGATAGATTATTCAAGATTAAAAAGTAATATCACAAAGTAATCGCCATCAGATGCTTTATCGTTTTATAATAAGAATAAGTTATTGAATAATTTAAATGTTATTGTCTGTTTATTGTTCGTTTTCATGTTAAAAATATTCATTCGAAATACAATAAATATAATTTAGATATGCATTTGAATGAGACATTAGGTATAGAAAAAAAAGAAAACCAGGGGAAAGAACATTTCGAAGCTCAGGATCTAAGGGCCGACTAATAGTAAATACACTAACTCCATTAGAAATAATTCTGAGCTGTGTCATCTAAAGTCCATAACCATTGATAAGGATAATCGCACGAACCACAACCAGACAGTCTGCATCTACTTACTTGGCTCAGTCCAGCTGTCAGTGATATCACGAACTGATGCTACGTCATAGTTTGGACTAGCTTCTTGCCAATATACACTGTCCACCATCGCTCGTTAAGGTTGGAGGTGGTTTGGTGACTCATTTGGTCGATGCCGAAGACTTTATTTACTTTTCTAATTTCTATATAATTGGATTAAAAGTCAACGATGTATTTCTCCTAAAACTTAATCAGTTCCAAATTTCGTTTTCCCACCACATAGAATTATTATCTCGTTTCCGATTATGGACTGTGTGTGCACGTATCATAAAGCAATGCGGTAATCCTTTTGCTGGTGCCGATAATCAAACATATTTACGGGAACGTCTTAGAAGTATTAATCACCACTATGTTTTCAGACCGATGGTCATGAAACAACCAGGTAATAACAAGGTTACTTTTTCTGACTTCACTATCTCTGTGAATGTAAACAACCAAGTTTGTTAGTTAACAACCACTCTCTATTATTCCTCAACCCAGGCATCTGTTAATACAGTTAGTCAGTGAATACTAACCTATTTATTATTATTATTATTATTATTATTATTATTATTATTATTACTGCTTTATTCAATATTATATTTTTGGTACCATATAGAATTCTCAGTGCAAAGTATTTCAACAAGTTTCCGTTTCTTTCTTCTTGGTCGGTCCTGGCTATAAATATTGAGTGATCGCCAGTTAGATGTTAGCACTTCAGTGAATGAACATCTGAATAATGTGCATTCTTTTCGTTGTATATTGCCAGCAACCACATTGTCTCTTATTGAGCTTTTTGTAACTTTGACAACGAAAGGTTGTATACTTTTCAGAAACGCAGCAGGATAGGTTATGTGATTAACAAACATAATGATATATTAAAACAAACAAAAATAGATAACTTGTTGAAATATCTAGATGGCAGGAACAGGTAGCCCAGATGCTCAAGCAGGCCGCTGTATCTTAAGTTTAGAAACTTAATACAACCCATTAGTGACGGTTAATTCTTGTTACTAAAAAAAAGATTGATCTGTAACTGAACGGTTCAGTAGATAGCTTCTTTTAGTTAGTTCTATTGGGTTCATGACACAGCAAGGTATACGAAAACACAATAAACTGTGATTATCGATCATTTGTAAATGGTAATTCAATCCTATTGCTATTTAAATACTGTAGTGTAGTTTTTGTAAGTTAGTAACATGCATTTCTTGATAAGATTCGATCATAGGTTTTCGAAGCATCATCCACGTACAACAGAATTACGGAGTAATTGGTACTTAAATTAGGGACAGATAACCAGGTAGGAGTAACGAATCACCTGATGAAACTGTGGACATTCATTGTTTTAGGTCATTATACTATGTGCTCCACATAACTGGGAATGCACCGATGATAAACAAGTTGGAAGGAAATTCAAAACTAACTACAAGTTGTATTTTAAATTATTATTATTATTAATAATAATAATATGACTATCGGTGATAACTTGTCAAAATTGTCATTCTATGGTTTGAATATAAATGATTGTTTTGGTGGGGTTTTGTTCTCTAGTTTGGTTGACCAAATCATCCAGCTCAGAGAAAAAAACTCCACCAAAATCATCCACCTGAGCTACAAATTTTCTCCACCATTTCAGAAATGATAATTTCTATGCATTTCAAAAATACAACTCAATGTGTGATTGCTTAAAGAATTGTGTTCCGACTAGTTAATTATATTTTATATACTGTGTCACCAGATAGAAAAGATTCAAGCACTACATAGTTTTTAAGATATTCTCTACTGACCATTAAGTTACATTTTCGTCAAACTGTAGTGTTTGTGGTAGTAAATAATTATACTAACGCTAATTCACTTTTATCTGTCTACATTTTTTTCACTTGTTCAAATTTCCCATAGAATCTGAATCAAAAACTTCTGGAAATACTGGGGATACTCGATCGGATGTAAATACACGAACTCGGTGGAAAAGTGGTGGTTTAACATGTATTGACAATCCATTTGTTTCACGTTTAAATAACATGTCTTTGGCATTAGCACCGGGTGTAGCAGCCTTAAATCAAGCTTCAACAACCTTATCAATACGATGTGGTTTATGCACAAAACCATTGTGTGCCAGTGAAACAACTCAACAATTAACTGGACATTCTGGTTGGGCTTGTTCACGTCATGCAACATCATTTGATCCAGCTACCATAACTTGTGCATTATGTCATCTAGTTGTTCGTGGTTTATTTGTTTGTTGTAGAGGTTGTAGTCATGGTGGTCATTTGGATCATATGCAGGTAAGATGGATACTTCTATGTAGTGTAAATTTCCGTCTGTTGTAGTATAACTGAATGACTCATATACCAATAGTTTGTTTACTCTTTGAAATACTCTAAAACAAGTGTTCATTTTAATCACATGTTAAAATCATTCTGTTGAATGGTCATATACACTACAAATTTTCAGATTATAAAGACTTGGTTACTAACTCTTTTGAAGCAATTTTAAGTAACACAGTGTCCATCAGCTCAATATCTAATATTTAAGCAACATAAATTATTTCTTAATTCATTTGTGCTGGTTGTTTCAATCTTTCGATTACTGTTTAGGACCGTAATTGGTCAGTCTCTTGTTGGAATATGTGCATCCTGTGTGGATTGCTTTATTACCTTAAATCACAGCGTTATAAGCGGAGATGGATGGCGGCTCATAGTGAAACCCAGGACGCTTATTCCGTCTTATTCGAGCCTCCTCAACTGGATGTACATGTATCGCAGAGTTGATGACCACTCTTATAACACTTAGTATTAAGATTTTACTTAGAATGGTAATGATTTATAGACATCCGCAGAATCACTACATCATTATACTGTAGTTGCATCTACTGTATACTATCACTTTTTACCTAATTCAATTCCAAGACATTGTGTTGTTATTAAATGTAACATTTCTCAATGTATGATTCAACTTGTTCTGGAGTCTGACTTGAGTCGCATAAACTTTTCTAATTACAAGGATTGGGGACTTTGCAGTAATTGTTTACGCTACTGAGAGGGACATAGTTTAGGTAAAAAATTATTGGAAACTAGGTAGCACTAGACAGTTGTTTCAACAGTATAAACCCAAAAGTTGATCTTAAAAGGTTCAAGTTTTGAAGCAACCACATTACCTTTAAACTGTTATATTAGAATCCAAATCTGGTCTGTCATATCAACTATCTTCAATTCATGTCACTTGATGAGTAAGATAGGCGATGCATGGAAGGGAAATTTTTTAGACGATTTCATTTACTTTGGCTGTACAATTACATTTAATAGCCAGTTTTATTTGCTAAAATAGTGTTCTATAGTATAATAGAAAGGTGCTAACTAATTAAGAGTGGCACGTTGTGAATACATGAAAGGAAGTTATTGAATATAATCGGCTAGTGAAACAGTGGTAAATTGAAATATTTGTCCATTTGATAGCTCTTAAGAATAGAATTATTAGTAGTTCCTAATTAATATGGCGAAAATAATTGGAAGGGAGTAGAAATGTTAAAATAAATAAAAACGATAGATTATGGAAGATAGAAAAGGAGGTTAGGGTAGTCATGGAAGAATGAGGGTCTAAACAAACTGTCTTTTTTTTACACAAAGGTTAGACTTATACTAGTGGATGGTAATATCCTCCGTTGTGTATAAGTTGTTTACTTCCATTTTGAATAAAACAAACCTTGACAATCATCAGTTGAATTACATACATCCATTCATCTTCTACACATTATTGTTATGCAATTTCATGAGAATTTTTAGTAAACATTCGAATCACTTTTCTTTTTCTCTCTCTCTCTGTCCATCTATTATATCATCTACAATTCTAGGCTTGGCTTATGAAAAGATCAGAATGTCCAACTGGTTGTGGTCATCGTTGTAGATATGATTAAAAGAAATAATTAGAATTTTCTTTTTTTTTTTATCCCGCTTTATATACATATTGTATAAATCATCCCTCTTATCAATGATAATGATTAAATACGCTATTCCTTAACTATTTTGTATGTTATTTCGAGATAATTTATTTCTCTGATGTTTATCTCCTTTGTTTTTTTTTTGTTAATACAAATACAGTAATTTGATTAGGAAATAAAGGGTTTTTTTTAAAGAGATTTCTCTAGAATTACAATAAACATACTAACAGAATTACATTTTACTGTTAATCTATTTAGGATTAAGTTACAATCTGTCATTTAGTTTTTTGTACGAAATTCAAAAAACGCTGACGTCTGCTCAAATGGTTGGGCTACTTATTTTCTAACTGTGTATCCTCACAAGGGATTATGAAAGGTTTACAACCTACCATAATGATAAATATCGAAAATATCTAACAAGGGGCACTGCATTTGTTGAAATATTCTCTTTCTTAGCTAACCCTTAAAGATAAACAGACGGGTATATTTGGAATTTATGTATGATTCAGAAAAATGGTTATGTCTCTCGAATTGATGGTAAACCTTCGTCATCGAAGATAAGTGGGAAAAATAATAGCTACTTAATAAAGATTTGTGATAGTGTTGTACAAATAATGCTAAGAATTCCTTACTGTAACAAAGTGTATAGTAATGAATAAAGCTATTAATATCAATTCAAATCTTAAAAACCATAAAAATGAATACATTTCTGAAGCTCAGACATTGATATCTATGATAATGAAGAGTCACATTATTTTTTGGCGAAAGACTCTTAGCTTATAAACCATATATTCATTTGTTGACAAGAAAACACCGAGATTCCCAGCTCATTTTTAGCGTTGTTTAAGGCTACAAGTATAAGTACCATATTGCCAATATCCTTGAACTTTATGATCACATGAAATTTCTATTCTTAAGCAATATTTGTTTGTGAAAAAACAACTTTTATTACTGGCAAACATAAGTTGTCCTAATGAAAGACAGTAAGTAGTATTTATCTTGTCGAATGTTAGTTTGAACAGGGTTGTACAGTCCAAATTACAAAACTCCACCGATGAGTATGTTGTATTTACTATTGTTGGAAAAAACTGGTGTATGATGTACGAATCTGAGCACATTGTGGTGTATGTTATTTATGTCTGTCGACATAAGTAGTATGTAACATCAATTTGGAGTGGAATGCTTGTCATAGGAAAGTTGAGAAGATTGAAATAAAGAATCGGAAAAGTCATACAGGATGTAAAGGACAAATGAAATATTTCTTGTACAGTTTTCACTTTTTACCAAAGAACCCTGTTATTTTAAATTATCCAATAATTTGGATTTCCCCACCAACTCTGTATAATACATTCGAAATCGGCATTTCACATTTAGCTACCCAAATATGATGACGTAGTTCACAGTTATTTGATAGTGGTTTTCTCTGGATGCGAATCTTTTAACACCGACTTTAAAGTCAACTTTTATTCTTTTCAATCAACTCTACTCCTATTACTTATGGAATTTCTACCCGTGTATTTATTATTATCATTAATGCGAAAAATGTGATTATTGCTCGTCTCGTCCTATTGTGGGACTCCTCAGCAGTGCTCATCCACGATCCCTCTCGCGGGATTCGAGCCCAGGGCCCTCAGTCTCACGCGCGAACGTTTAACCTACTGGACCACTGAGCCGGCATCCAATGGTGTTAGTGTCTAATATCAACCAATCCACGAAATCGCGTGACCATCTTCCATTTTACCTGTCTCTACCCGACACGGATTAGTTCTACAATCGGACGAAACGGCCGTCCAGGTTTCCAACGGTGGTCTAACATCAATCGGTTCATGATCTCAATCAAAAACTTAATAATCTCCACAACCCCTATACTGATGATTATTGCTCTGTTAAGTGGTTTGTGGTGATTACTTCTCTTAGAAAGATGACCAATCACAATCTTAAGTAATTTACAGTAGTAGCTAAAAAAGCGCTGTTATGAAGGTAGCATCAAGGTGGTTGGTTGTATATATCCCGCCAATTCACAAACTGAGTCGATTTGAGAGAAGTGGAGAATGTGGGTTTTTTACTTGGATAAGTGGTAGGTAACGTGGTTTATAATCAGTTTACAACATTCATCGACTAGAAGACAGGTGCACTCTACTATTCTTGAAATATATATTTAAAGCATATTTTACATATTTCATAGCAAACGTATACGATTGATACGATAACGTGGGTATGAATCTGTTGTTTCACTAAATGCGTTAACCTGAAGATAGGGCAGAAGCCAAGACCAAATTACAACGAATAGTGCTGAAAACTATACGGATACTTTAAATATATATGCTAAGTGCAAACACAATAGTTTCCAATTTCTTCATTCCTTTCACTATCATCACGATGCAAGTTGACTTCTTAAACTTTTCAAGACTGCTTCAATTACTTTACTAGTTTTATAACTACCACCCAAATCAGCTGTACGTATTTTTTGTTCTCCAACAACATTTACAACTGAATCACGAATAAGTTTAGCTTCTTTGATATGACCTTGAAAAAGTAGAGAAAACAATCATAATAAATTTAACAGATTTATGGTTGAAAATGATAATCTATAATATATACTGATAAGTCTTGCTTATTAAACGCTAGATTTATTTCCTAAGCTCTTCTAGTAATCCCCCTCCCGTCAGGCTAGAACTACACAGTTGACTTGAACACGAGAGAAAAGTCCCGAAATACGTAAGAAACACTTTACTCCAAATGTTCATTTATGTACAGAAAATATAGGGTTTTTATAGTGTTTTAAATGTACCTGGGTTTCCCGAAAATACTGGAATGCTACTAAACCTAATAGCACTATAGTAATCATACAATCAGAAACTCGGAATGTGACTTTTCAATTTCTAGATGTTTCTGGCAAATCTTCTACTGAACGCTGATTGGATAAGATACTTCTCAGTGTTTTCAGAACCTTTCTTGGCTTATTTAATAAGTTTTTACAAGTCCAGTTTTTCTTAAATGTCTTCAGCGAATTCAATACATTCACTTAGAGACTAGTATTGTAAGGTGAAAACAGTAATATGAAATAATCCCTAACTAATTACTTGTTAAATATGATTCAGTAATAGATTGTCAAAATTTAGAAGGAAATTAATAAACTTACCTAAATATTCTAACATATCTGCTGATGTCAATAACATACCACATGGATTAGCAATATTTTTCCCAGCTAAGGAACGTCCAGAATTTCGTGTGCCCATTTCAAACAAGGCATTTTGTGGGCCTAAATTTATACCTGTTGTTAGACCAGCTCCACCGACTAAACCAGCTGCAACATTACCGACTATATTTCCGTATAAATTTGGTAAAACAATCACATCGAATTGTTGCGGTTTACTAACTAACTGCATACATGTATTATCAATAATCATATGATTGAATTCAATCTATGCTTCCACAATAAGATTATAAAGAAAATAAAAGAATCACTAAGATTGATATGACAATTAGGTGTTCATAATAAACTTGTAAATCCTGAAAATTTAATGAAGTTTGATTTTCTAACCTAAATGGCTTGAGTACGGAGCTTTCATTGTTCTGAACAATACTGACACACCTCGACAAGTTAAACACCAACAATGATTAGCCAGGATTGAGGTATACAGGAAATGCTATTAGTCATATTTAGAGGAATTCGAGTATTTCACTTCTCCAAATTTGTGCTGATGTTGTTCAAGAGAACAATGAAGGCTCCACAATCTAACCATCCAGTTCATAAAACAAAACCGCTCACCATCTCGTAATCGTAAAACTGTCTAGAATTAATGAATAAATTAAACAAATAATTTATCTGCACAAGAATATTTATACGATAATCTCAGAATCGTTAATAGACCCAACAGTTATGGGATAATAATCATAAGGAGCATTTATTAACTTTCTCTGAACGATTATCGCTAATCATTAGTATGACAGGATTTATGGAATTGGTAGAATTTCCAATAGTTCAAGTTACAAACTGATCTTAGGTGGACCACTATGGAAATTCTAGGTTTCACAAATCCCCTGATACTAATAAGAATAATGTACAGACTGGTGATTAGCTTCAGAATGTAACTACTGAAGTTCTAACGAAAAGCCGTGATCAGTTGGTTTCAGCCATTTTGCGTGTGAAACAGTTATCCCCTACAGGCAATGCACAAACTAATTGAAGTTAGACATTAACACTATTGAATGCCTGCTTATTAGTCTAAAGTTTGTACGTGAGATGAAAGGTTCTGGGTTCGATTGCTGGGATTCAGGTCGTTGGTGTGCACTGTTAAGGAGTTTCATACTAGGACGAAACAGCCGTCCATTACTTTCATGTTCTCAATGATGGTCTAACTAAGATCATTTCGTGATTCAAACAACGAAATTTACATAGTTTAATTTCGTTGTGTTTTCTCACATGTCAGAATGAAAATAATTGCAAGTTTTTGTTTAATTCATTTTGGGCGTTATAACACTTGCCTTTTCCTAGTGTAGCTTAAGTACCAAATAGAGGTTTTTATGTACTGCGCTATAACTAAAACTATTTTTGCAAGTGTTAGTGATCGGAGGGTGCCACAAACAAATTAAGGTGGGATTCGCACCTGATTGTATCCGAACCACTGAGTCACAGCTTTTATCGTAACGTTATACGTTCATTGAAAACAATACTTAATTTGTATAATAAGAAAAATTGCATATTAATGAAGTTATTGAAGGCAACCACTAACCTGTGGATAATTTTTGGCCATTGAAGAGCATACTTCTAAAAATAGACCATCACCCAATTTCATGATATTGGCTTTGTGTACTGCTGTGACTTTTTTTCGGTTATGTCGAACGGCATAATCAAATGCAAATTGGGCAATTCTATTTTTTTTTTAATAACATAAAGGAGAACAATAAACTCGCATTATTTTATTTATGACAAAACGGAATATCTTAATGAAGTCTATGCGAGAAGAGAGGAG